TTTTTTTTTTTTTTTTTTTTTTTTTTTTTTTTTTTTTTTGGTACTGGGGATCAAACTCAGGACCTTGTGCTTGCAAAGCAGGCAGCAGCATCACTGAGCTAAATCCTCACCTCTCTCTTTTACTTTCTTTAATGTATTACTTTCTGTTAAACCTCTGTAATTAATCTGATTTAACTAAGTTTTGTTTTTCTACAAGTCACTAAGTAACATTTTTCTGAACTTCAGTATCACAGAAATTCAAAGTATTTCTATAATGCCTAAACAAGCTATCTAAAATTTTTCCAACTCTTCAAGGAACTGAAAATCCTGATGAAGAATCTTGTACCATGTTCCAAGCCCAGGAATTTCAATCAATAAATAATTCTAAAAAGCTCATCTTCTGTAAGTGAAATAAATAGGACACACATGTGTAAATACCAAATAGTTTCTCCAGTGTGAGAAACTGCCAAGTGTAAATGAGGACCAAAATGTACAACAGATAATATAAAATAGGAAGAAAAGGTCCAAAAAAGAAGGGGAAGTAGTGAGGGAAAGGTGTGAGTGAAAGGAAAGAAAAAGAAAAATATATGAAAAAAGAAGAAAAAAATGGAAACAAAGTTTTCGTAAATAGGGAGGGGTGGATGGAAGGGAAGAGGAATGGGGAAAAAACAAGAACCAAGATATATCATGTACAGGTACAAATTCCCAATGATGCATGTGATCATAATGTATACCTAAAATGTACCAATAAACTAAATAAAAATAAATAAAAAGCTCATCTTTCATCTAAGAATACCAGCAGTAGGATCTAACATACTCCCAGAAGCAAAATAAAAGCTTTGTATTACCTCTTCTTTAATTTCTTCTTTTTCTTGGATTAGTGGTTTTGGCTCAGGCTTAACTGGTTCCAAAGGTGGAAGGTAATTCTTAGTATAGAGACTTTCAAATAGTTTATCCACAAAACCGGAAGTTTCTAAAAAGAAAAAATAATATTTAATTTTTATATAAACAAACAAAAAATATGTTTTAGAAAAACAGGCAATCTCTTACACTGCAGATGGGACTAAAAGTGAGACCTTAAGGAAGGGAATTCCACTTTTGGCTATTTAAAGCCTTCTAACGTAACTGCACATACATAAATCATATATTCGTTAAGTATGATTATTTTTCAAAGTATGTAATAACAAAACATTGAAAACAACCCAAACTTACATAAATAAAAGTAAAATAAATTATGAGATAATTACACAAGAGAACATAAACTTTTTTTTAGTGCTAAGATCAAACCCAAGGCCTTGTATATGCTGGGTAAGTACTCCATCTCTTTGCTCTATCCCCAGCCCACAAAACATCTGCAGAAAGAACTAGTCCTAGGAAAAATCAAATCTTGAAGATGTAAGACAATGTCTTTATGTATTCAACAGAGAGGACACAATAACTGAAAAACTATGTGCTGTAAGAGAAAAAAAGAGGCACATGTACAATAGGCAAGAATATTTATCTTGGTATAACTTTATACTGCTGGATTAAGTGTATGTCTACTCAAAAACTTTAAAAGATTTTTAAATCTGTTGGAAGATCAATATTGTTATGAGAATAATATGAAATATTGGCATAAAAACAGAAATACGGAGCAATGAAACAGACTAGAGGATGGAGAAACAGCCCTAGGCATATTCACATATCTGATCTGGGACAAAGAGGCAAAAACATGGGCTGGAAAAACAAATGGCACTGGGAAAACTGATTATCTATATGCACAAGATTGAATCTAGACCCATATCTCTCAACATGAACTAAAATGAAATCAAAACGGGTAAAAGATCTAGATATTAAAATAAAAAACACCTAATATGCTGAATGATAAAATAGGTAAAAACTCAAGAGCCAGCCACATGTGGTGGCACACATTCATAATCCTACCACTTGGGAGGCTGAAACACAAGGATCGCCTCAAGTGGGAGGCCAGTCTAGGCTACATAGTGACTTCAAGACCATCCTGAACTATGTAACTACATAGCGAGATCCTGCTTCGAAAGAAAAAAGATGCGGTAGTGACTGGGGATTTAGTTCAGTGCCCATGCCTGCTTCGCAAGCACAAGGTCCAGGGTTTGACCCTGGGTACCAAAAAAAACCTTCTGAAGACATAAGCATAGGCAAGGACTTTCTTAATAGAACTCCAACTATACAGGAAATAATACCAAGAATCAACAAATGGATGTATATGACATTTAAAAGCTTCTGCACAGCAAAAGAAACTAACAGTGAAGAGATAACCTACAGAATAGGAAAAAAATTCCTGCAAGCCATTCCTCTGACAGAGGACTAATTACTAAAGAATGGATAATAAAAATGAACAGAAAGTTCTCAGAAGAAGAAATACAAATGACACTAAGTATATTTCAAAATGGTCAACATTTTTGGCCATCAGAGAATTGCAAGTTAAAACAGCCCAGTGACTCCATCTTACTCCAGAGAAAGAAGTATCATCAAAAACTCAAAATAGGGAGCTGGGGATTTAGTCAGCGGTGCTGCACCCGCCTCACAAGCACAAGGTCCTGAATTTGATCCCCAGTACCCACCCCAAAAAACCCAACCTCAAAAAGGAAAACTCCTACATTGTTGGTGGGATTGTAAACTAGTGTAACCACTATGGAAATCACTATGGAGATTCCTCAAAAGACTAAAATTTGAAACTCCTTTCAACCTACCTACTAGGTATCTTCCTGAAAGAGCTAAATATTACAATGATACATGTGTGTCCATGTTTATAGCAGCACAACTCACAATAGCTAAATCTTCAAAGTGGCATACACCTCCATCAACAGATGAATGGATAAAGAAAACGTGGCATATATACACAATGGACTACTACTTGGCCATAAAAAGGATAAATTTCAGTCACTTGTAGAAAATGGATGTACCGTGAGACCATAATGTTAAGTGAAATAAATCAACCACAGAAACTTATTCATCATATGGTTTCTTCTATATGAGAAACAAAGTATAAAGAGAAAAATAAAAGATGATATGAAACAGGAAAGTAGACCTTTTGCAAATGGGAAGAGGATCTAGAGATAAAGGGAAAGGAAGATAAGGAGAAGTAAAAAAGATTAAGATGTAATATGTACATAAACAAACTCCCCAGGAAAAATATATTATGTATAGCAAAAACGTACTAAAAAAAAAAAAAGTGATATGGAAGCTGATAGCTTTCAAAACTTCGGACTAACAGAATATGAGGAATAAAATTCACTGAAGTATAAACATCAAAAATATTTATAGTATCTAGCCAAACCTGTAATCTCAGCCCTCTGGAAGGCTGAGGCCTCTGGGATCATGCCCATTTCTTCTTGGATATAAACAAGCCCCAGACTACAGGGGCAAAGACTGATGGAATCATTGTCTTAACAAGAATCAGCAGCTTCCATATTCTTAAGTTACTCCTCAACCATCAAGTAGGTGTTTCCAAAAGCTGTGAAGGATCTAAAAGATATGAGAGCTGCCATTTGCTCAACACAGGAGAAAAGCAGATTGGGTGTGACAGCACCTAGCACTGGAAAAGCTGAAGCAGGAGAATCCTGAGCTCTGAGGCCAGCTTGGACTACACATTGAGACTCCATCAAACAAAAGTAAACAAGGGGGTGAAAGGAGGGCAGGGGAAGAGGGAAAAGATAAGAACCAAGATAAATCATGGTAAAGGTACAAGATCCTAAGGATGAATATAACTGTATTGTGTACATTATAAAAAGTAAACAAAAAAGGAGTGGGGGAAAAAACTTCTCTTCTAAAACCTATGAGAAGTAATTCAGCATGAATACATATGTAAAGACACCTGACTACTGTCTTTACCATAAAACTTAAATCTTCAGGAAGGTTTAAATTCAAGAAGTTTTTGTTTTGTTTTTTTTTTGGTACTGGGGATCGAACTGGGGCCCTTGCGCTTGCGAGGCAGGTGGTAGAACCACTGAGCCAAATACCTGGCCCTAAATTCAAGAAGTTTTAAATTCAAAATCTTTATCAAAATACTTGGATGTTGAGCATTGTGGCACACTTGGGCAGCTGGGGCAGGAGGATCACTGTGAGTTTGAGGCCAGCAAGACCCTGTCTCGAAAGTACCATAAATAAATGAATGAATCAATGAATGTATGTATGTATGTATGTATGTATGTATGTTTGGTGGAAGATCCACAATAATTACCTTTTTGTAAAAAGACATCAAGTTGATCAGCACAAAAGGCTTTCAATTCTTTTTCAGGTTTGTCCTTCTTGACCAGTGCTACAACATAGTTGGCTAAGGCTGAAGGGTCTGCGTCACATCTAATTGGACAAAGAGAAAACAAAAATTTTGAAACATTTTTAAACAATGACATCAGAACAGAGTTAACCCTATTCTGGAAAAATCAAACTTCAAAAGCATTATTTTGTATTCTTTTTTTTTTTTGGTACCGGGGACAGAATTCAGGATCTTGCACTTGCAAGGCAAGCAGTGGAACCCTGAGCTAAATCCCTGGCCCTCAAAAGCATTGTTTTAAGAAGCGACTACCAACACAGGGTACTACTATACAAACAAGATGTATATACTGCAAGTGAGATTTTCCTTTTTCAATTATTTCTGTAACTGTTTGTTTCCCCTATTTTTTGATGTTCTAGTTATGCCAAGAATCTCTAACCAGGTCTAAATTTATTTGTTTTCTCAAATGGCAACAATGAAAAAGTAGCATCTAATCCCTAAAGTGCTGTTTGGCATCAGCCTACAGAAGAACTATAAATAAAACACTATACAGGCACAACGTCCCATGCCTGTAATCCTAACTACTTGGGAAACTGAGGCAGGAGGATCTTAAGTTCAAGCCCAGGCTGGACAGCTTAGCAAGACCCTCTCTCAAAAAAACAAAACAAAACAAAAAAAAATGGTTGGGGATGTGCCACAGTGCCACTGAGTGCAACCCACAGTACCACAAAGAAAAATACTAAAGAGCTGGGTGTGGTGGCGCATACCTGTAATCTCAACACTTGAGAGAGTCTGAGGCAGGAGGATCACAAGTTTCAGGCCAACCTGGGGTATATAGTGAGTTCAAAGCCAGCCTGAACCATACAGCGAGACCCTACCTCATAAAGCCAAAAACAAATAAATGAATGAATAAATCATCCTCAGGAATTATCGGTTCCCTGTCAGCAGGGAGGAGAAAGCAGGGAAAGTGATGGACACACATCATCCTCCTCTAAGCACCTTTCTCTACATCCCCAGCCAATAGCATCCAAAACTGGCTATCAAAGATGGGGGCAGTGGCATACACCTTTAAATCGGAAATGCTTGGAAGGCTGGGTCAGCAGTATAACAAGTTTGAGGCCAGCCTAGACAACATAGCAAACTTTGCCCCCATCCCAAAAGAAGCCAAAAGCCATCAACCCTACTGCTCATCTTCTCAGTTATTATTTTAAAGATTACTTATAAAATGAGAACACCATTTTGTTGGCAAATGCTTTAGTAGCCAAAAGCAAAGAAATATCTAGGGTTTATAAACAAGACAAATAGTGCAAAGGCAACAGAGACAGTTTTTGTCTGCTTCAGTTTTTCGAGTTAGTAGTAACCTAACCCTGACACTCAAAATCATCTCCTACACCAGGGCAGCACACAATCCTAGACTGTCAATTCCTGAAGTATACCAATCTGTCAGACTTAAAAGTTTGATCTATATCACATGAAAGTAAAAAGATAAAAACCATACTTATACATATTTTTAAAAAATAATCCAGATTTCCCAATGAATTCTTGCTTCCGTAACATATTCTTTGTGACTTCACAGGGTTGTTATAAAGGTGAAATAAAGCTGCATGTAGTGGCACCTGCCTATAATCCAACAATTTAGGAAACCTCGTCTCAAAATAAAAAGTAAAAAAAGAAGGGGGAGAAGAGGAAGGTATCTCAGTGTGAAGACCTTGGGTTCAATTCCCACCACGTGCAAAACAAAGTGAAATAAAAATTAAGAATGACAATAATACCATCATTTCAACAATGATCATATCCCTACAAAACATTAATCAATCCAACTAATCTCGTCTAAGCTTCCAGTCAACCAGAAAGTAAATTTCAGCTCAAGAATATCAATTGCATCCCAATGTCTTTATTAGTAAACAAAAGTCAAGCATGAATACCCTTACATCTTTCCAGTTTTTAAAGTTTGTCTTTAATAAAGCTGATTTTTTTCCTTGCTAATACTGTCATGGGTAAGGCCTGTTCTTTAAACATCTATAGTCCAAATTCTAAGAAACAAGTTAACTTAATAGGTTCCTAAGGCTTAACTTTATAGTTCCTACCCTGGTGTTCATGCATAACTGTCCCATTGGGCAGCTCATAACATACACAGGCACTGTCTCATGACACCTAATGGGACAGTCATGCATGTACCACCACTGGCCCAAGCTGCCCAGCAGGGAGACATACAAGTTAAGGCCTTGTCATGAACGTGTTAAACAATTATGGACAAAGGTCAAAGTGCACTAGAATAGTGTCAAAATGATAAGTTACCTATTATTAAAACATGCCATTTGTGGGTCCGGAAATAGCTCAGTGGAACAACATCTGCCTTGCAAGCATGAGGTCCTGAGTTTGATCCCAAGTACAAAGAAAAAAAAAGCCATTTCAAAGAAAGTTTTAAAAAGATTTTCCTTAATTTAAAAATCTAAGTTACATTTCAAAAAACCATGAACAGTCCAGTTGCTAAATCTTTCGTCTGAGACTGAGTTTACTACATAGTCCAGGGTGGCCTGCAACTGGTAACCTTCCTGCCTCAGATAGGTGGCATTACAAGCATGCACCACCATGCCCGAGCCAACTTGCTGAATTCTAAAATGGACCTCTGTGTGTGTGTGTGTGTGTGTATGTGTAAAAAGTTTCATCATCAAAAAATATTACACAGGGCTGGGGATTTAGCTCAGTGGTTCCAGTGCCTGCCTCACAAGCGCAAGGTTCTGAGTTCAATCCCTGGTACCAAAACAAAACAAAAAAAAAACCCAAAAAGCAAAACAAAAATTACACATGCCATGTTCACCTGGGGTATTCAAGAAAACACTTTAAAATAATAGTAATATGTGAGTATAACCTAATTTCACCCAAGAACAACAAAATATTTTATCAATGTAGTTCTACATTCATAAAAAGGGAAGAGAAAGAAAGAAATCACATTTCTACCTTTTCTTAGAAAGTTCAGATCCTGGACAAGGATACTCTGACATAGAAGAAAAGAACATAGAAAATAAGAAAGAACGGCAGAAAATGGCACCATTATTTTCTGTAATGTTATCAGAAGCTTCTAGGAGTCTCATGACCTGACAGGACCACTCCTAGGTAAGGATAGGAGGTTGCTAGTAAGAAATATGTAAACAGCCAGACTACCAAATAAAAGGAACAGGCTTAATAAGCCCAGTTATCTTTTACAAAATTCAGGATTCAAACTCAACGTATGGTAGCACAGGCCTATAATCCCACCACTCTGGGAGACTGAGGTAGGATTACAAACTCAAACCCAGACTAGGCAACTTAGTGAATCAGCTAAATCAAAAATCAAAACATTTGCCAGGGATGTAGACAGCGCAAAGGTCTTGGGTTCAATCTCCAGTACCACAATGAATGAACAAATGAACGAATGAATGCAGAGCTAAGCTCCTTCAGATATATTGGTGTTAAAAATCAAGATGAACAGTTAAGAAAAGGTAAAATAATACAAAAGAAGCACAGGCCTGGAATCCCAGCATTCTGGGAGGCTGAGGTTAGAGGATCACAAGTCAAAGCCCAGCCAGGGCAACTTAAGACACTGTCTCAAAATGAAAAAATGAGAGAAGAGCTGGGGATGCCCTGTGAGAAGATCCTGACTCTAATCCCCAGAATCAAGGGGGAAAAAAGAGAAAAGTCTAAACTCCAGGAAAAGTGATCACAGATTCTAAACATTTATTTAATGTTAGCGAACAATGATTATTAAATTATAGAATTCTATACTAAATGCAAAGGCATGTTACAGCCAAAGGAATAAATGCCAAAGCATTTAAATTTTATTGTACATTTTTAATAATTAATTTTATTGGTACATTTTAAATACATATATATAAAGATCACATTCATCATAACTTGTACCTATACATGATATATACCTTGATTCTTTTTCCCCAATCCCCTCCCCCTTCCCTTCCTTATTTAAAAAAATGTATTTAAATTTTTTTGCTTGTTTTTATTTAATTTTTTTTGGGGGGGTACCAGGGATCAAACTCAGGGCCTTGTGCTTGAGAGCGAGGTGCAGCACCACTGAGCTAACTACCTGACCCAAAAGCACTTAAATATAATGCCGCCTAATATGTGCTGAGAAAGTGTGCTATGAAAGAAATCAGTATGAAAATAATAAAAAAATAATCAAATCATAATTGAATAGTGAAATTTCAATATATTGAGGAGCTTGACACTGCCATTTTCTAGAACTTTCAGATTGTTCTTATTCTTTCAACACACTAACATCTCAGTATATAACCTTCAAATCTGACAATTATATTAACACAGATATGGTACTGGTGCTAATGGTAGCCCAACAAGACTTCCAGAAGTGTCACCAAAAAAATCACAGCATTTCTAAGACAAAATATGGAAGATCACTGCCAGTCCTACCTGAGCTACACAGTGAGACTGTCAGAGACAGAGACACTTAAAAGCTGTCGGTTACTCACCTGGAACCAAAGTTTATGAAAATGCATTTCTACTTGGTTACAAGAATTAAGTACACTGGGAATGAATAGAATTTTTAAATTTTGGATCTCTTGCTATGTTAAATATACCTATTTTCAGACAGAAAAGGTAATAATATACATCTTAAATTATTACTCTATAGAGTCAACTGAAATAGTGAAGTTGCAAATACAAAATAAGTGAACCACTCCAGGTCAGGCAAAAGCATACCTTTGGAACTAACACTCAGCTTTAATTCCACACAAATAACATCAATTTCACATACACTTTTCTAATGTATATTTGCAGGACAAACAATGTATCCTAAGTCTCAACTAACAGTCACCTTTTAGTAAAAACAAAGAATCAAGCAAAGAAATTTCCTAAAACTTAAATGTTACAAATGAGGACTCCTGGCCAGGCGTGGTGGTGCACACCTGTAATCCCAGCACTCGGGAGGCTGAGGCAGGAGGATCGCTGTGAGTTTGAGACCAGCCTGGGCTACATAGTGAATTCCAGGTCAATCTCAACTACATAGCGAGATCCCGTCTCAAAAAAAAAAAAAAACCAAATGAGGACTCCTTAAAATTCACACCTGCACATAACA